AATACAGACTAAGAATGCATTTGAAGCCTCGTAAACGGTAGGAAAATAAGTGAACGGCATGAATAAAAGACAATCAAAAAAGTCTATACCTAAAAATGATTAAGAGGTTTTTTTTTTTAACCATATCATGAGATTTGAACCCAACTCAGGAGGGGGGATTGCACCTTTGCAAAGTAACAAGAGCCACTTGGTCCAATGGGTTAAGTGCATAAGTGATTAAAAGTTTAAATTTTTATGTTATAAATTTTTAAATTTAAATTTTGAGATTTTTATTTTTGTTATATAATTTATTTTTTAATGTACTTAGAAGATGATAGTATAAAATATGTCTGTCATTTTAATTTTTTTTTTTTTAATTTTTATTATATACTAGATCATCTAATATGTATTGCTCTCATTAAAACGGCTTTCATCTCTTCATAGCTATGACTTATAAGTACTCTCAAGACCTCCATTTCTGCCCGTAAAGAGATTTCAGTGGGCTTTAAAGTACAAGAACTTCAAAATATGTTCTCATCAAACAATTTATATGAATCGTAACATCATGTGCAAGCATTGCCTATGTAGGAAGAAAACATGGATTATGAAGGAAAGAAAAACAAGAGTACTTTATGAGAAATGCAAATCACCTGGGTAAGATTGGTATCGTTAATTGCAGCCACTTGAAATTTATAATTATCCACCAATATAAAACAATAAATAAGTATCCTCAATTTCTCACCATTAATAATCAAAATCAAAATATTTCTTTTCTTGGTAGAGTTTGGGACACTCTCGTCCGGAGAGGAGCACAACAAAATGTAATGAAGGCTTACAGCCTTACAGGACAGGCATTAACATAACAGAGGCAACTCTAGAGAGAACTATTAATCAGAATCAGAAATCAGATTTACACCTTTCAAACTACAAGCACAAAGCTTTGTGAAGCAACAACCGCAAAATTTAATCACGCAGCTCATAGGGAATAACTTCCTTGGATTATGCACTTCTTTGGGCCGGCTTCTTGGAATTATTGATTCGTCGAACTTTCATGAAAGCTTTTCCTAACTCCTGAACACATGAAAATATGAGCCTAGTTAGCAGACGTTCTAACCATAAGAAATGAACAAAAGTAGATGTTCTAACCATAAGAAATAAACAAAAATAGATGTTCTAACCATAGGAAATGAACAAAAAGAGGTGCTCAAAGAGATCTCTATAAATTTAGAAGTTCTATCAAGATGATTAGATTATTTTGACCAAACACCTGCTGCTTACCCAAGTGGATGCACCTAAAAGATTCTCCTTTCTAATCTAGAGTATAAGTCCAAGAAACTTAAAATCAGTATATGGCAAATAAAACTTATTTGGTAGAATAGAAATTGCTGGAAAATGGCAACTTGAAAGTACCATCTATTTCTTTATTTCCTTTTTCCTTTTTATTATATTTCTAGTCCATCTTGAGGCCTGTAGGAGATACCTGGATTGCAAGTAAAATCTCAGTCATCAAGCTTCTACTCTTCTAGAAGGTAAAAACTAGGTATTATTGGTCATAAGCCAGAAAAAAATAAAAAATAAAAAATAAGAGGCCCACCTAAATTGCAAGCTATAAGCAACCAACTTTAAATATAAATTCAAACACACATCAAAAGCTTATAAACTCATTGAAGAACTATTACCTCAGTTGGTTCCTGAGTTGTTTCTGTTGTCCAACGGTTTTCCAGACCGTAATAAGCTCTAGCCTTCTCATCAAGAGCATGAACTATTACTCTACCTATAGAAAAGAAAAGAACTCCAAAAATAAGCAAGGTGTATAATTTCCATAAACCTTTTTTGAGAAATGACAATGTCAATGATCAGATAATCATCCCAGAAAAACTTCCATTTGAAAGTTGCTTTCATGTGGATTACAATCAGGATGATCAAGAAATATCCTTGGAGGCCTTTTCCTTTGAAAAGGATCAAGAAAGACCTTGATCAACTTGAAGTTGTCATAAGAACGAGCTAGAATTAGCAGTTACTTAACATTTCTAATTATTTTTCTATGAACTCAAACTGTATCTCTCATGCTACAATTCAACAAGTATTAATACAATTCATTATAGACAACAGATAGACAGTTATGTGGAAAATAGTACACACCAGAATCAATAACAATCCATTTTCCCGTCTCTTGCCCTTCTACACTGGGTAGCACCAACCGCTTAGCTCCTTGTTGCTTTTGCTTAGCCTGCTCTTGCAATTAAGGACAATCACAACATACACAAAGATAAAAGGTCATGTTTCTTCACACGTTACTGAAAATACTACTATTGAAACAAAACACTGGGTTTGCACACCAAATAATATTAGGGAGGAAAATGAACCAACTGAAACCTGGACCCTGTTTCTGAGATATTCCCAAAATTGATTTCCCCATAGAGCTATTCCCAGCTTATTCAACAAAAAACAAAACTGTTACAAATGGCAACAGGAAGCAAAAATTTTCTTCTCAAAAAGATTTTAACTTCTCATTTCCTTACCTTTTCCCAATTTCCCCCACAACCAAACAGAAAAAATAAGCTTAACTCTTTTCTTATTTCGTATGTATGCTTCTGTATGAATTTATTCTAGAAGTACAGCAAATACAGTATATTCATCAAATCAAAGCATATTAGAACAAATTAAATTAGCTTGCTTCAACTAAAATGAAGAAACATCTTTTTTACTGCATATTCTCTGCAAGCAAATGGAGTATTGGAGAATCTGAAATTTGAGGGAAAACAAAGAGCACCTTGTAAACTAGGGCTTGGGCGATGTTCTTGACGTGCCATGTCGATCGACCGGTGGCAATAACCATGAAATCCGCCCAATCGCATTGTTTACCCACCGGAATCACCGATACGTTATCTGCTTTGACGTCGTTCAGAACTTTCTCGATCTCTTGTAGGCTCAGCAACTCTCTGCTGCTGCTGCTGCTACTGCTACTGCTGTCGGCACTAGATGAAGAGAACGTCTGACGTGAAGCAGAGAACCCTAGCTTCCATGACCAATTGGAAAGAGAAGATGATGCCGACGAGGAAACGTACAGCGATCGAGATCGTACAGCCGCCCACATGAAATCGCTTCACTGAGTCTGCGAATCGGCCGACAACCACGATTGTCTTTGGGTAGTCCACAACATATCAGTTCGGTGAGTGAAACATTCAAAACGACGCCGTTTACCATCCCTTCTGGGTTTCGCTAAGTATTGTGAAACGGCGTCGTATTAAAAATTCCAAACTATTGGCTATTTTTCCCTACAGTTTTTTTTTGTTTTTTTGTAACTTCGTATAATAATTTATATAACAAGAAATTGTCATCTTCTTCTTTTAATACCTCTTCATCCTTTTTTGATATTTGAATTTAAGATTTTTAATTTAAAATATTAAGTTATTAACCGCTAATAATACCATTTAAAGCTTATTTTTTCCTAACATATTTAACCAATAGAATATGTTGTTTCACCTCTTATAAGATAAAATTTTACTGAAATAAATAGAATACATGAATTAATATATATTTTCTTGTTTAATATCAAGTAATTTTTGTAAATATCAAAATTTGCATGAATCTATGATTTTTATTCTCTACCGCTTGTATCTCAATTATTAAGATAACCTAATTAGTAAGGGATTAGATTTTTACTTAGGATTGATTCTTTTACCAAGTTTAAGAATATATAATTTTTTAGTTTTTAATCATACACTTAAGGCGTGAAGGAAAATGAAAGGGAATTATCTTGATGATTAATTGGAATTGAAGCTAAACCTAATTTGACAACTAACCCAAATAGGTATATCCAATTAATTATTGGACCATGAATGAATGTTAAGTCTCAACAAATGAAATTAATTAAATAAACCCAAGTTGCCTTAATCGAAATGCAAGGGCTTAGGAACCCCAGCTGCTCTGATTGCGATAAAGGATTTTTTTTCTTAGTTTTTTTAATGGTACCAAACAATAACAATGACATCATTCTAAAATCTTTCCATTAGTGGGGGAGAAATCCATAATCATAATCAACTTTGTTCTTACAGAAATTGGTCCATTTTTATCGTCTTTTTACTAATGACGACACCTAATTTCAATTTCACTTGACTTTTAGTATCCAATTGTCACTAAAAAATGTCTTTTTCCACTTTATGTTAAAGTTGAAACAAAAACTAATACTCTTAAAGTAGTGGTGTCCACGTTTTAGTGATTTGTCACCAAATTTTAATATTTGAGTTGACAAAA